GCAGCAGCAGCAACTGAAAGGCCCCCAAAAGGACCTCTGCTGCTGCTGTGCGCAGCAGCAACTCAACACTTGTGGCTGCAGTCTCTCAAGGGCTCAGCAGTGAGCGTTGCTGCTCTTCCGCTGCATAGCACGGAAGAAGATCTGCTGCCGATCCTGCAGCAGCAGCAGCAGCAGCACAAGCACCACGAGCAGCATGATCGGCGCCATCCCCGACAGCGCCTGCAGCAGCAGCAAAAGCAGCTGCTGCAGCAGCAGCAGCAGCAAGAAAGAGGCTGGGGCTGCATTGTTCTGGGCGCGTTTGCCGACTGGGCGTTTTCAAGTGCCGCAGCTCAGCAGCAGCAGCAGCAGCAGCAGCAGCAGCAGCCACGTTCGCTGCACTGGCTTCTCCAGGGCTACCATCTGCTTCTGCTGCTTTTGCAGAGTCTAGAGACGCTGGGTGAGCAGCAGCAGCACCTTCCTCCTGTGCTGCTGCTGCTGCAGCTGCCCAGCGAAAAGGCGGGAAGCAGCCTCACAGACAGCAGCAGCAGCAACAGCAGCAGCAGCAGCAAGTGCAGCACGTGCTGCTGCGGGGAAGCATCTCTGGCTGCTGAGGGGCTTCTGCAGCTGCTGGTGGAGACAGCAGCCAGCCTCTGCAGCAGCAGCAGACGACGCCTGCGCATTTCTGTAGCTGTTTATGAGCAGCAGCAGCAGTTGCTGCAGCAGCAGCAGCAGCCAGCAGCAGAGTTGCTGCAAGACCTCTTTGCGGCAGCAGCAGCAGCTGGATGGCCGCAGTGCTTCCGCGTCATGAGCTCCGCAACAAGTATGGCTACATCAGCAGCAGCAGCAGGAGCAGCAGCAGGAGCAGCAGCAGCAGTAAACGGTCATGTTGAAGTGCAGCAGCAAAGTTCCGCGCTGCCGCTGCCGCCCAGGGCCCCCTCGCTGCAGCACAGGCGCGAGGGTTGGGCCCACTTGTTTGTGCTGCGGGACGCTTCTCAGGCGCTGCTGCAGCAGCTGCAGCAGCAGCTGCAGCAGCAGCAGCGGCAGCAGCAGGAGCAGCGGCAGCAGGAGCGGCAGCTGCAGCAAAGCTATAAATTCAATGCATGCAAAATCCTCAAGACCCTTTCCGGGGGGCCCCCCTTGGGGGCCCCCCTAATTTGCGTCCGCGTTTTAGCTGCTGCTCTAGGCGAGCAGGAAGCTGTGCAGCTCATGCAGCAGCCTACTGGGGTCACGCGTGAGCTGCTGCTGCTGCTGCTGCTGCTGCTGCTGCTGCTGC